GGTGCAAACCCTTAAAAGCCTGTTGTTGTTGTTCTGAAAGCCACATGCAGCAGTTGCTGGCCGAAATAAATAATACATTCAATTACTGAGAATGGGAAGGCTAAATATAAATTAAATGAAGCTTGTGGAAATGGGCCGCTTTGGTTTGCCTCCCTAAACATCTTCCCTCTCAGCTGGTTATAAAACATCCCCTCCGTCCTGATCGCTTTCTGGCCTCCTTTGAAGAAGCCCTGACTGTATCTTCTTTATCAGGTTGTGGCTTTCCAAGGCTGGGCCAGCCCAACAAGTAAACTCCCGTTGGCCCCTCGGCCAGGCCGGGGGGGATGCTGACAAAGGCCTGTTACAGGAGGCCCAGTTGTGGTCCTTTGGACACATTTCTTCAGCATGTAGACTGGATCACGTGGGGATTTGGTCACCCATCACCCCCACCTATTTAGGACAAATGAAGGACTTGCAAACTGTTTGTTTGACCCAGTGCTTCTCACCTAGATGAGGCCCAGAGGTGCCCACTCATCCTTGCCCTCAGTCATGTCACTGGATAGCTCCTTGCCCTTCTTTGTCAGTCGTTCTTTCTGGAAGGTCACCCCCAGGCCACAAGAGCAGATTATTTTCCCTACATTTTTATCTTCATTCCTTTATCTGTACAGTTTCTAACCTCAGAAAGGAGGGTGTTTTACAATGGAAGTAACGTTAAAGGTGGGTCTTGAAAGAAGAGCATATGTTTATCGGGGAAGGGCTGAGGGGAGGGGAAGAAGGAATAGGTGGTGTTCCAGGTAGAGGGACCAGTCTGAGCAAAGGCATGGAGGCGACAGAGGTGTGCAGTTACGGGATGTGTTTGGCCAACAGCAGGATGTTGGGATAAGTCCCTAATTAGTGGTGAATTTCAAGTCTCCTGAATGCAATGGTCCCAATCCGGAGTCTTCTACTTTTGAGCTGGATGCCCTTTGACAAACAGGCTTTTCTGTGCCTCAGTTTCTCCATCTGTAAAACGGAGATCATGGCAGTGATGCCTGTCTGTCACTGATTAAATGAGCTCATGTACTTGGAGCACTCAGGCCACTTGCGTAAAGTAGTGGCTCAGTAAATATTAACTTAATATAACCGTCTCTCAAAAGATGAAAGTATACCATGGAGTTTTTAGGAGCTAACTGTATATACTGCCAGCTCTGCCATCTCAGAGTTCTGAAAGAATACGTTTGATGTGACTGTTTTCTCAAACCTTGAGGCCTCTCCGGTGATTATGGACAAAGTAGGTTATTTTCGCTCCAGCAGTTCACAGGTGGGCAGATGGCATGAAGCTTGTCACCCACATTCATGTCCGAACGCACATGATCCATCCTGCTTAGGGAGGTAAGGGCTGGAGTGGATGGCAGCTACTGATGGAAGGAACCCACAGAAAAGGAGCAGGGGCGAGTCTCCCCCTTTAAGTTAACGTAACTCCTTATAATAGTAAACGCCTGCCATTTGCTTCCTCCTGCCAGCAGTTTTTGGCCATTTTTTACATGCAAGCCACTGTGCCAAGCATTGTGCCGCAATGGGAATGCACTTAGACTTCATGCTAGCAGGAGAGTCAATCTGTTTACAGTTATACAAAGCAGCACGTGATAAATGTCATGAAAGATGTTCATAAAATGTGCCAGGAAATTTTAGAGAAGAGAGAAATGATCCTTGGCTTGGAAGAGGGGAAAAAAAACAAACTTCTTAAAAGAGGTAGAACTTTTCAGCCTGGAAGATAAGGAGGATCTGTATATACCAAAGTGAGGCAGAGGGCATCCTAGCTAAAGTCAATGCTAAGTGCATCTGGAAGGAATGAGTGGAAGGTCAAGTTAGGTAGATAGTTTGGGGAGTAATTGTTGAGAGAACTGAGTCCCCAGAAAAGCAGTTCAGTTTTATTTGGTGCATATTATTTGCTGGGTGGTTGATCTTCATTTTACAGAGGAGGAACTGAAGCTGAGAGATGAGACGTGACTTGCCCAGGGACATCTAGCTAGTAAGTGACTTCAAGTGCTCTCTGCACCCCTGCAC